GTGACCTTGCAAACCATGGAAGCTTCGATCTTCCCCCTCCCCTAACTGATTTACTCCTGAAGAAGGGGCACAGTTGTTGCTTCATGGGCAAGGTTTCGGCATGGGGAGATGAAACCATTCTGCAAAATGGATGGTGGGGATGGCCACATAATAATGCGAATGTGTGCAACTGCCACAGAACTGGCCACTTAGAAATGATACAATGTAGATGAGTTTATTTCATCGCAAAAAGTTTTAAAATTTTATATTTCCTGACTTAATTTACTTCTGTTCCCACTTCTTTCAGCAAGTTCTTCTGCTTATTGGCTTATTTACCAAAATGAAGTTTTAAAAAAAACTGTTGCAAGCTTGCTGAGGTGCCAGAGTCTATGGCTGGTCCTTGGGATATGACGATGAATCAGAATACCTCAGGTTGAAAAAATGGACAGATTATAATGAAGTGTTATTAAATTCAGCAAAGGAAATAGATATTCAGTGACAAGAACATTCCCAGGAGGGGCAATTAAGGTAGAGGAGGGAGGAGGGTGTTTTGAGAAATTCTAGGAGACTTCTTAGAAAGGGTGAGGCTTGGGCTTGGTGTAAGATTCTGGTGGTTGTTAAGCTTCCAAGCAGGGTATGGAGGGCATGTCAAGCAAAGTAGTATTATAAGGGCATCAACGACAGAGAAAACCTGGCAACAGAGACATCTGCAGGTCTACCACCTGGAGTGGAGGGGAAAAGCGAAAGACAGAGCCAGGTAGGGAAGTCACAGGGAGAGGGGAACTAGACTCTGAAAGCTGCGCAGAAGGCTGTGATGAAGGCCTGGCCAAGGATCACTGCCATTTTGCCAGAGCATCATGTGTACTATGCAGCAAGGGGAAGTGAAAAGCAGGTGCCCAGAAATCAAACTTGGAGGCTGTTTTGATCAAAAACATTTTAGTGTGAAATGACAGGGAGGAATCTTAAAACTGAGAAACACGGGCCTCCCCGGTGGCGCAGCGGTTGAGCGCTGGGTTGTGAAGCTGCCCGCAGCCTCTGCAGCGCTGGTTCGATCCCCAGCTGCTCCCCGGCCATCGGAGGAGGGTCCCACATGGCTCGCAGACCTCTCCTGCCGCCCGCTGCTCCCCTCAGCAGTCTACTTCGGTCCTTCTGCCTGCTCTGCTCCCCGCTCTGGCTCTGGTGAATTCTCTCACCCTCCTTCTGACTGTACCCAGTGCTTGTATACATAAATAAATAAATCTTTAAAACTGAGACACACGATGGAAGCTTAGTTGTCTGAAGAATGTGGAGGTGTGGATGAGGTGAGAGGGGAAGGTGATCATGCATCCCAGCTCTGCTATGGCTACACACTTGGGTAGGTGGCCAAGCCGCTCCCCAAGGTGGTGAACAATGGAGAAGAAAGACGTGAAGGAGGGCAGGAGTGAGGCTGAATCACTTTGGACTTGTGAGGGTGAGACAGGTGTGTCACATGCAGGTACAGATGTGCAGGAGGCGGGCAAACAGGTGAGGTTACTGAAAGAACTATGAAGAGATATTGTAAGGTGTGGGATTAAAAGAAAAATCAGGAAGGAACTGTGAGGGCACAGAAAATTTTGGAGGTGATGAGAGAGATGCAGAGAGATGGCAGAAAGAAAAAGTTAAGTTTTGGAAGACAAGGGATAGGAGTTTGAAGGAGGGGCAAGAAACAGTATTGACAGCTTTAGAAACATGGAGTTTGATGGCAATGGCGGCTGAGTGACCCCAGCGAAGCTCTGAAGTTCCACTTTTTAAGGATCCTCAAATCAGGACACACAACTGTGGTCCAGCTAGACAGTATTTGGAAAGTACAAATCCTGCAACTTCCAACAACAGCTATCACTCCACACAAAGGAAGGGGAAAGTCACCGCTCCTCATTGTGTCTGAAAGTGGCAAATGACACCGTGTAGATTGGCGTAGAACTTGCACAAGAAAATAAAACAAATAAAAAGGAAAATATATAATAAATTTAAAAGCATTTCCTTAAAAACAAAGACTGAATGGACACATGACTGATGCTCTGATTTGCCTAAGTGATGCCCACAGATGGCACAGGGAGGCTGCCACCAGCATGCAAGGAGCAGTGTCCCACGACCAGCATTCAGAGCCACGGTCTCGGGAACAGGGACAGCTTGGCACCCGGAAAACTCTAAAGTAGCAATGGTCAATATAGTCCAACACCAAACATTTATACACAGCTGGCAACACTTCCTAGAAAATAAAGAGAGGGTAATTCTTCTCTCTACTAAGATGCCCGATTATGGAAAGTCCTGGAAGTGGCCAAACCTTTCTGAGTATATTAACAGAGATCAGGGTTTCATTAATGATCCCAAACTATGCCTAAACACAGTAAGGTGTTAAGTTTAATGTGCTGAAATCACATTTATGTCAATTCTCCCCTTATACTACCCCATAAGCTTGAGACCAAAATAGTGATTGTATCCTATTACAATTTTTGTTGAATAAATATTAAATCTGTTAATAAATATCACCCTTATAAATACTGTAGAACTCTGTACTCAAAAGACCACCTGGAGAGTATAAGTGCATCTATTTAAACCAAAGAGAATTAGACTTTATTCTATTTCAATGGAAAATGGGTTATTTGTTCTACTGCATCTATTTTGCTTCACAATGTATAGAGAATACAAATTCAGTAAGCTAGAAACTCTAAGCAAAAGTCTCTCAAGTAGTTGCTTCCATTAATGACTCAAAGTTAAAATTTTAAAAACAAATAATGTATTCCTAAAATAACAAATTATGGAATAGGAAACTTAACTCTTAAGCTTTCATTAAAGGACATCCAATTCCCACATATTCCAAAATGAAGAAGAGCCAAATAACCCAAATAAAATATCCTGAAAATGCGGGGCTGAGTCTCACAAATCACCTATGCCTCCACTGCAAGATGTGAAATCCTAGTCCAGTGTCCTGAAGAAGATCTGAAACTAACAAGCTTTCAAGGGGACTGAGTGGAGGTTAAATTTTCCTCAAACCATAGGTAGCCTCACTCTGTCCCTTTTATCTGTCCAGTGTGAGATCCCCAGGGCTACCCTCACGGGGTACTCACTCAGATTCCCTTTCCGCTGGGTACAGTTAAGATGAAAGGCAGACACATGGACACACAGGAAAAAACCTCTAAATTTCAAAGAGCTCCATTGGAGCTGATGCATTCTCTAGCACTAAAAGCTTCATGCATTCTAAGATGATAATTAGCCACAAGAAAATATTTTGCTTTTGGAGGTCACTATGTCCAGCACTCAGCTTTAGTTTCTATTGTAAAAATTAAGCTCAACATGGAATTGAACTACAACCTGCTGTTTCATTGCATGGGATATAAAGAAATAATATAAAAACCATTTCACTTGTAAAAGCAGGATTGTTCTGAAGAGAAAGAACATAGCATGGAAAGGAAAAAAGGTCTTTCTGTAAACAATGCTTTCCTAGGCTCATCTTTCAAAATGTGGGCCAAATCATGGATTCCAGTTAACACACACCTCAGAGAGAGCCAAGTTTGGAATGTGGAGAACAAAGAATTTATTCAGAGATCTTCTGGATGTTTTCACTCCTCAAAAATAATGGAAGTGAGAGCAGGGCAGATGGGATGGTGGCCACTTCAGGGAGAGGAATCTTTTACTGAGATAAACAGCAAGGTTCTGGACATAAATCTCCAGGGGTCAATGAGGAACTTTAGAAAGACAGTTAGCTTTTTTGTTTGTATTTCTTTTTTATTAAACTATATCCACATGGTATTCTGGTATTTCTGAAATAGTTACGTGATGATGTTTTATGCAACAGCTCAAAAGTCAGATTAAAGGACACCTCGTGTGGTTTTTGAAAACCTCCAGCTGTCTTCTCCCAGACTGAACCAGTGACGATGCACAGCCAGGGCCTTCCTCCTTGGCAGCCTGTGCTTGCTGGGCCTGGCTCCTGCCACTCAGGTACACCAGGGCCACACCTGGATTCCCCTAGGGGCCCTTCCTTCTACACAGGACAGTTCCTGGAACAGAGGTGTAGGCCCAGGAATAGCGTTTCTGGTGCCTCTCTAACATGGGGGCCACAAAAACATTCTGAGATGTGACCAAGACAAGCAGAAGTGATGGGAGGAAAGGAGAGCAGACGGACAAAAAGGGGTTTCTCCTTAGTTATGCACCCAGCAGCTTACTGAATTAAATGTTCTCCCTTATCAGCGTTGATAATTTGGGGTAACTAAACTAACAGTGGGATTACTTAAGATTTTATAGCCAATTTCTATTTACATTTTAACAATACTTAATCTAGTTTAATTTTTTGGCCTGGATCCTAGTTCAAAGTGTGGCATTTTACAGTGAATTCCAGACAAAACTGTTAGGGCATCCTTGTTAAGGAGGAGTTAGTTACCATTTCAGAGGGGACTCACTGTAACTTATAATTTAACAACAAGGTTTCTTGGTTTCTTCCTTCCTGGGATCCTTTAATCCTTCTCCTTTGGCTTATTTTACTCAAGGCTGAGTGTTTTGCCCTACCTACTATTTTCTGCAACTTTCAGAGCAGTGGAAAGTATGTTTGTGATATACTAGCTTTTTCCTTTCTCATAATTCTTTACTAACAAAGTGACACAGACATGCAACCAAACACTTGCATTCTGTTACTACTATCATATCACTTATTCCAAAAAGATGAAGACTGTCCGAGATGATGATACGGTCAATGTCACTTCAAACAGTCTGCCAAGTTGTAACCCATATGGCTACTAAGTGTGCAGTGAGGATTTCTGTGGATGCCTCACGGAAATGAAAGAACAGAGCACAAATACCATTACGCAGAGCTGAATGTTTGCTGGAATCGAGCCTCATTTATTCTTATGGCTTTGGAATGCTACCATGCTTTGAGAGCCCCTACTGCATGCATCTCTGTTTTAATTCTTGATTTTAATAAAACCTGGGAAGCCCTAAAGCTAGTGCCTAAGATCTGGTGTGGCTGGTCTGGGGTTGAGATTCAGAGTCATCTTTGAGGGTGAACTCACCGCCTCTCTAGGGGGCGCCCGTCGCTGGAAATGCTCCGAGGAATGTTGGCAGCTCTTTCTGGAGGAGGCATCTTCCCGTCTCCTTTCCCTGCATTCAGCCTGGAGGTCATGGGACTCTGCACCTGGGACGGAACTTGAGGGGAATGAGTCCCCTTGCTGGCATTCCTCTGCCACTTGTTGTTATTTCGGAAGGGAAACTTGAATTCATAGGAAACTCCTTCGTTCATTTTGTACTCCATCACTGGCATGCGGTAGGTTTCTGAGCAGCTCCTAGGAGTGAGGGCACAGAGAGAAGAAAAGTTAATATTGCTTTTACTTGTTGGTGGAACCACACTGCTTCCCATTAACAGTTAAAACAGATCAAACACTTTTCTGTCTCAAAACATCTTTCAATCAACGGGCCTTGCAATTATTTTCCTTTCAAAGCCAGAACCCCAGGAAGTATCCTTTGTTCAATCCCAACTGTTGAGTCTGAGATGTGGAATCTTCATAGAACGATGAGACCTGTGGTCATCCTGGTGGACGCAGCCAGTGCTGAGACACGAGGGAGGAAGATGGCACAACATTGGATAGACCTAAGGCGGGGCCCCTACAAGCAGGCAGCATTCAAACCCTTCATTATTATGACCAGGCATATAAAAGGTGTACAGTTTTAAATGTTGGGATCCTGATAGTCAAAAAATGAAGTGGGAAAAAATCTTGAAATCCAAACTAAAAGCCAAATTTAGCTCAGGAGGAGGGAAAAAAAAGGCCAATTATAGAAATTCTGCAATTATGAAATCACCAGGGAACAAAGCATAATCTGAAATCAGGCTTTTTAATTTTTTCTCCAAGCTAGACTCTCCCACAGCAGGGCTGTCCCCAGGGAGCATCCTGAGTGAAATCAATGGCAGCACAAATGCCTCCTGTTGTTTTAGCCTCTTTTTGTGCCGCTATTCCAGCCCCCAAGCCTTAGGAAACATGGAATCCATATTCCATTCTCTTTACCCAAACCACCAAGGAAGATTCAATTACTGACTTGACTGATAGATTACTGAAAAAAACTTAATTCCCACTAACACATAGACTCAAACGTGCAATTGAATTTTAACACTAAGTGAAATAAAAAACTCTTCCTAAAAGAATTTCAAGGATTGAAAAGCAGGGTTAAGAGTAATCATGAACTATTCCTTGCAGAGGCTGTCTGGTGGTAACATAAGGCAAAACCAGCACTGCCAAACAGGAATAAATGTAAGTTGCTTGTGTAATTGAAAAATTTTCAGTAGCCAGATTACCAAAGTAAAATCACAGGTGAAATTAATTTAACAAAACATTCTATTTAATCCAATATAGCCAACATGCTATCATTTTGATATATAATCAAATCAACATTTAAGCAATGATTAATGTAGTACTTTATGTTCTCAACATGGCTGTATTTTTTACTTAGAGCACGCATCACTTTGAATTAAAGGTGCTGCAGCCACACATGGCTCCTGTACTGGACAGCACCAGAGAGCCATGGTGTCCAAGGCCTGATGTTGTCTGGGGGCGGGGTTATGTTGGTGGGAGAATGTGCACAATGGGAGATGCCACTCTTTCATGATCTAAACTATGTCCCAGGTTGACCCCTGACATTTCAAGTGTACCCCATAATGTATCCTTCCCCAGGTCTCCAGAAAGCCACAGGTTTTAGAGAATGCAGCTTCTGGAGTGCAGGTGCATATTTGCTGGGTCCTGGTCCTGCTCCTTGTAGCCTGAGCATCTCTTCTTGGAATATGCTCACCCCTCCCCAGCTCCTGAAATCCCAGATGACCTTATCAGCCACTCTGGCCCAGACTGTCCTTTATGCCTTAAATGGTAATGGCTTCTAACTCTGGACCACAGGCCCAGTTATAGATACATTCTACACAGTAATAACAGTGTAACCACAAACACACATAGCCTTCTGACAGCTTCCATTCAACTATATTCTATGTTAATCCATTTCATTCTAAAGAAAAAATACAGGGAGGGCAACCTCTTAAAGTGATTTTATGATCTATTCGAGAGTTATGATCCACAGTTTGTACAAGAGAGCTTTGTGGCACATTTGACATTACGTTTAAACAGTTAATAACTTCTTATGCCATAAACCATTTACTGTGACAAGAACAAGCATTACTGTGGGCTTTAATATAATATTGAGCTTTGATTCTGATACCACCGACAAAAAAGATGCCATTATGACACTTCTTTGATTGTTAATGGAGGCATTACTGCAATATGTTTAAAGTCTTTCATTTCTGACAAAATAAGATATATAGCACTTAGTGTCTGGATCTGTAAGTATAATGTGAGAATGTTGTCCCTTGCCAAAGGAATATTAATAGAAGCTCTCAATCATCCATGGGAAATTCTGACTCCACCTCAGCATCAGGACTAGGTTGGTTTCTATTCAGCAAAGGTCTGTTTTTAACTAGTATACTCGATAGGTCATATCAATTGCGCCCCTTTGAGTGGGCTGCCAGCAACTAACCCATGCACAGACCACGCTCAGATCATGTGTTTGGGGCAGTATCCAGAAGTTTTCACCATGGCGGTGTTTAACTTTCACTCCCCCATTCCCCACCCCTACCCCGGCCAGGCACACATGTTTCCTGAGTTTTAATTTTGTGGTATCTACACATGTACCTTCATAGGCTGCTTTAAGTCCATCTTGCAACCCTGTAAAAAATAATGTCAAGAGAAATGACGATAACATAGTATTAAGTCATAGGGCAAGCGGATATAGGGCAAGGGTCATATAGGAAAAACCTCAGAGGAATAAGGAAGACTCCAGAGATAAGGGCAACAAATTCCAAAGGGGGCTAATCAAACACCCCCTTACTAGGAGCAGCAGGACATTCTTGGACAAGGGCAATAAAAAAAGGACTCTAAGATAAGAGCTGTGAAGCAAGATGTAATTCTGGGCACAGAGTTATGAAGACAGAGCAAGTGAGACCACCCAGAACCAACCAATCACAAAGAGACTGAGGGGGCTTTAGAATAATTGGGGAGGAAGGTGTATATCCCTGAGGCACGACTCCCTCCTTGTCCTTCCCTGGCCTGGTTCCACCGGCCTACGAGTCCCACTTTATTTTTGTTCCCTTTCTCCTTAATAAACTTCTCCTTACATCTGTCTCTCTAAACAAATTTGCCTCTTTACGCTTGTTTGCTCGCCTGAGAGTCAGTGAAGTTCCTGCTGTGGCTTCCTTAGAAACCAGCCCATGGTGGTCTAGTGTCTGGGGCTCAGCACTGCCACTGCAGCCTGGCATCCATTCCTGGCTGGAAGACTGGCACTGAAAACCTGAAATTATGGTATCCGTATCAGACAGACAGGTGCTTTCATCTTTTGAGTCTTAGTTTCTTTGAAAAATGAAAGATTTGGAACTGGTGATAGCTAAAGTTTCTCCTGAAGTGGTCTTTTTTTTTTTTTTTTTAAAGATTTATTTATTTATGCATGCAAGAACCGGGGCACCGGCCAGATGCGGGAGGGTGAGAAGATTCACCAGAGACAGAGTGGGGAACAGAACAGGCAGAACGACAGAAATACACTGCTGAGGGGAGCAGCGGGCATGACAGGAGAGGTCTGCCCTGCCATGTGGGACCCTCACCTCCTGGCTGGGATAGAACCTGCGCTGCAGAGGCTGCAGACAGCTTCACAGCGCTGCGCTCAACCACCTGCACCACCAGGGTAAGCCCTGAAGTGGTCTTTTAAGTGACATAAAATTTTACTAAAACTGGTTAAAAGATCTCATCAGTCAACGGTTTTTGTCTTCTCTGTAGGCTACATTTCACCTCCACACACATTACCCGTAACTAGAAACCTTGTGCATACTCTAGGATGACAGCAAGAAGGATGGTAAAGCCTGAGCAGGGAGAAGGATTCATTTACCAGGAGTGAACAGCACAGGCACATAGATCCAGCCCTCAGCCTCCCCCACTGCTGAGTGCACACTGGCTTCGGCTCCCTGCCTGTCTCTATAAACGACGAGAGCTGCCCTGGGATCAAGGAGGACAGTACACGGAAAAGCAAATGTAAAAGCCAGCCTTGAAATGACATGCATAAATGTTTGTAAAAGGGTTATTATTGTTTAAAAAATATTTACTAATCATTCCAAGTAAAATCTGGCATTGAGTAAATATGACTCCAACTGCTTACCATGCACCAGCCCTTACACTTGCCTCCCTACAGCACCCTTAAAGGTGCACATCATCACCCCTGTTTACACATGAGGAGGCAATACCGCCAGAAAGAGGCAGATCAGAATGTGAGCCCAAAGAATCAGTCTCCTCACAAGTTAGTCTTGTTTTAGTCATCAACTAAAGATACTTCCACTCCAGGTCCCCACGCTTCTTCACCTTACAGCGACTACTGTTTTCCAAGCGGGTGCTCAGCTAAGACAATATGGAAAACGCAAGTTTTGAAGAGCTTTGGTCAACAGGAACGACAACTTCAGTGCCCAAAGTGACACATATTCATACACTGAAGCCCTGTGTCAAATAGAAAAGTCAATCTCCTTAATCTCTTTTCAACCTGTTTAACTTTCTGCTTTAATTTCTTATTGCCTATAGTCTGTTTTCTTTAATATATTGTTGGGGCTCAGGGCAGGCAGCCCCCAACTATGTGTGGAAATGGCATGTTTATTATTTTAAGTTAAAGTTACTTGAGGACCAGTCAATGCAGGAATGCTGCCTTGACCTCTCTTGCCTCCTAAAAGCAGGAAATCAATCGCCCATTGAAAGGCATCCTTCCTCCCCACATCAGGAGGCAAAGAAACATCTTTATCAAGAAATTCAGGGTGTAGAAGGCCTTTGAAACAAACTCTTAGTTTTTTTGTTGATTAGTAGAGTAGCCTGAGTCTTTGTCCTATTAGTTCTTCACAAATCTATTTGTTTAAAAAGTGTCTAAACCTCACGCATCCATCACTCCACAAGTTCCATTTTCCTATGGAATCTCTATACCTATGAAATTAAATGTCTTTTTCTCCTGTTAATCTTGTGTCAGTTTAATTATTTGCCAGCTGAAGGACCTGACCCAGAAGGGCAAAGGAAAATTTTTCCTCCCAGACTACATTAACAAGTAAAGATAGAAAACCAGTTAAGCCACATTTTGAATAGAGCAGAATACCACAACACAGGAGTTTTAATCAGAAAAGTTATGGTTTGAGGACAGCTGAATCCCTAAGAAGCAATGTGACTTTGGCCTGGAAGAAACACTGAGCAACTCTGAATCATAGTTCCTGATCTGTTCAATGAGATTTGAACCACAGATCTCAATAGTCATTCTAGAGCTACCCCCTCTGTTGTACTTTAAAATACTTGTCCTATTCTTATTTCAAAGGTAACTTGATCCCTTTATGTGACTTACTTTTTTTTTTTTTTTAGCTCTTTTTCTTAGTCCATGAATGCTTTCTTTAAAAACTGTAGAGTAGGCCCTCAACAGAACTGTCCACCACTCCCAGGCAAAACCATTCAGAAGTCACAATTAAATCTGTTATCTGGGTGTTTTTCATTTTGCCAAGAGAATGTGACTCAGGGATCATAGATACCAATAGATTAAAACGGCCACATACTCCTGAATCAGGATGGTGGGTGAGGGGCCCCTCCCACAGCATGGCATCTCCCTCCCTGCAGGGAACCTTCCAGAGAGTCTGCAGGCGAGCAACAGAGCAACACCCTTGCTCCTGCTGGGACTGCTCCCATATTGCTGTCACTCTACCTGGTTTGCACTGACTCTTGTTAAGCCTCAGTCTCCCCATTGTTTTCATGGACATGAAGCTGCCACCCAAGATTTTATAAAAGCTCTGCCCATAGGAGGAATTCTGCCTTACTCTCCATTCTTCACTTTAAAAGATTTTAGCCTGAAAGCAATTTATAGAGGGGTCTGCTTATTTCAGAAGGACAGGGAAAGAATCCTATTTTATGTTTACTCTTAAAGCCCTGTTTTGTTGTTGTTAAACTAGGTTTTCTGTAAAAAAGACACAAAAACCTGCCTTTTCAAAACCAGTGACTCTGCCACGAGGACACACAGCCCCACGGGTGTCTGTGATTACATAGGTCACCATGCCTGTGCCTGGGGGTCCTGGCATCCCTGAGACCGGGGGGCTGAGGGCAGTGGGGCAGCTGCTGCAGGAAGCTGTGCTGCCAGGCGCTGGATCCGCAGTAATAGCTGACAGAGAGGAGAGTGACTAGTCAAAGAATAAAGTAATTAGTTGCTAGGAAAACAGCAGTGGGAGTGTGAAGTGCGGAGGAGAAGGGAAAAATGACAGAAGAGCATTATCTTATTTAGTTGAAAACTGTAGCAAGGTGTTAATGCTTCAACTGTTCCTTTGAAGTCGTTTCTAAGGGAGGGAAGGACAGAGTGGGGCCTTCAGTCCTCCACAGGCCTCAACGGCGTATTTCTCACCTCTCTGCTGCGTCACTCTGGATGGAAACTGCAGTGGAGGGGGCAGACTGTCTCTGGAGCTACACGGCTACATGGGGTACTGATCCTCCATCCCAGCCTAGCCTGCCACCCTATTTCCTAACACCCTTCAGTCATGTCACTGCCAGCTCTGCCGCTGAGGAGAGGATGCTGTCGAGTGTCTCACAAGTGGCATTGGGAGATGAAGACAAATACGGCTCATTTTCTGAGGGTGTGCAGGAGCTGGGCAGGCTCTGCCTCGCAGTAGTGAACTAGGAGCACCTGTCGCAGCTCAGCGTGCAGCGATGGTGTTGGCAGCCTGAAGTTGGCCGTGGTGGGAGGACTTACACCATGGGAATCAGCAAATACCATAGATCAAGGTTCTTACCCCCAAAGAAAGCCAGTTTTCCAGCATATCCTTGCTTACGCTGGTATTTACGAAAGGATTTGTGCCCCAAGCATATGCGATAGCAGTTAAGAGCTTGGGATTCTGAGGTTAGACCTAAATTTGCCAGATGAGCTTGGGAAGCTACTAAACTTTCTGGGTCTTGGCTTTTCAAATAGGAGTAATGTAAATAAATTACTTCATAGAACTGTTATAAGGATTATATGTAATAATTCAAATAAAAACGCTTTTTCCAGAACCAGGCACATTAAAATAAGTAACTCAGCAAACGTTAGTTGTTTTTACCAATGTATCACAGAAGACATACCTTGTCAAGTACCTGGCCGTAGACCACTGTTTCCTATCATGAGTCTATCTATGCATGCTTAGGCCTTAGGACCCATCTTTCTAGCAACAACTATTCACAGTTCAATGCCAGTAAAGTTGCCCGTTCTGTCCTGTTTCCTCAGACTCACCATCTCCCTCACCTCTCCTGCAGATCAACCTGGGAAACTAGGGACAAGGAAGAAGAGCTGCGAGTTGATGAGATGGTGTCACAGGATCTAGAGGCTTCATTCTGAGTAAATCGTCTTCAGATTGGTGTATACAACTCTGTACTGTGTTAACTGAGGTTGACAAGTTACAAAGCGTGGTTATCTCCTCTGGTGTCTAGCTGCCTGTTTAGAAGCAATGAAACAGACAATCTGAAGGAGAGGCCAAAGGTCTGAAGACAGACAGACAAGAGTTGGCGCACAGGGCAGCTGGAGAATGTCATTAAGAGCCCAGCTGCCTTTCTTTCTTTCTTTCTTTTTTTCCCTTGGAAGTATCACTTTATTTATTTTTTTTAAATAATACATTTTATTTTTATATTCCCCATACAATTGCAACCCCCCCCATTCTGACCTCAATCCCTCCCCTCCCGCCCCCCCCCCCCCCAAAAGTGTCTCTGGTTCATAGTTTTTGTTGATTTTGATTTTCACTTTCTTATAGTTATTCATTTTCCTGGTCCCTTATTTAAGTTTTCTAGAGCCCAGCTGCCTTTCTAATCCACCTCGAGAGTCATTCTCGAATCCCAGTTTAGCAAAATGCTTAACACTAATGACATGTTGAGGAAACCAGAAAAGGGCTGGTGAATTAACGCAAGGTATATGTGTAAGACAGCTTCAGAATATATCCACACTACTCCCAAAAGAGCTGAAAAAAGTTCGGGATGTGCCTTTTGGTTTCCAGGAAAATCCAAGTGATCTAACATGGAGCAATTCTTACAACTACCAGAGTCACAGGGCTTTCCCCACACCCTGACACCAGCACACACCTCGAGGCTGTGCAAAAGGGACAAGCAGTTTTAAGAAATGCTATCCTGAGCACAGTCTGGTCCTGCAACATTTTGTCTGAAGAACTGAAGCATATTTAGATGCTCTTTGCTGTTCATTTTTTAGAAGTCATGAACTGCCCATCCAAATGGTTCATCTATTTCTGGTCATTTTGGGGGGAGGGAAGGAAACCTCAAACAAGAATATTGTCTTGGTTTTAAAAAATCCACAAATTAATTGTCAAAGCTTAAGAGAAATTCTTAGAAGATAATGGGTTCAAAGCAAATTAACACTAAACCACCCCCACAAAAAAAAAACCAAAAAACTAACCAAAATAGTGTATGCATGCCGAAAGGAGAAAAGAAATAGTTGATTAAATTTGTTCCATCAAGAAACCTCCCCAGAGACAGAGAAATTAAATTTTCAACAACACTGCCAGCTGGCCATAGCTGGAAGGAGCCAGGAACTCCTGGGCTGGCCTTTGGGGAAAGGCTGGGTACCCACCTGCCAAAGCATCATGAGCTGGTCCAGCTCATTTGAAGCCAATTAGGAAAAACCTTCGGGAAGACATGTTCAGTCCTCCAGGCTGAGACAGCAGGAGTCAAAACAGTACTTTGGGTTTTGGACAGCATGGGTACAAATGGGAGAGGCAGAGGACAGGAGTGTCATGGAACATGAAAGAAAAACATCTGACAATGCTCAGTGCTGAGTTAAGGGTACAATGTTCCCAGCTACCAGTGCAAGATGTTTAAGATGGGCATCACCAGACTTCTCTCTCTGTAAAGACAACTTTATAAATCCAAAGATGTAAGTCCTGGGAAGGGTCCAAGTTAGTCATTCTTCCCAGCTGTTGTTGCCACATGTTAAAAGGGAACCGTGTCTTGAGTCAGATTTTCCATGGATGGAACTTTCAGCACGGCACGTAAGCTAGAGTTCTTCACAACGCCCTTCCCGTCAGCCAGCAAGACATGGTCTCCCTGCTCCATACACCCGGCACGGGACTCCCGGGCTCACAGCTGCCAACTCAGACCTACCTCCGAGGGGTGCAGTCCTCATGAGGGGGGATAATGACGACCTTCACTGTGACAGATGTTCTCAGGAGGTCGATCATCTGCTCATGGCTCAGGGTGGCCACTGCCACCTTGCAGATCTCCACCAGCCGGCTGCCCTGCCTCAGCCCTGCTTGCCAGGCATAGCCGTAGGGCTCCACATCTGCCACGATGCCCTCGTAGTTAACATGGAAGCCAAGCTGCCCTAGCCCATTCCTCCGCAGAGTCATCTCCACCGACTCACAACCTTTTGACACAAACTAGACCAGGAAACAAAAGATATCATGATTTGATGTAGCAAAGTATTAAGTGGTTGACGTGGAACTGGAAAAAAACATTGTAAACAGGCTTATTTCTAAATGCCCTACTGTCAGCGGAAGGGGAGTCTGGTTGTTTTCCCTTCATTAATCTCTATTCAGTAGGCCAAAAAGAACATACTTGTCCCATCCAATGAGCTCAATGGCTTCAGTGAAGTTACAAAGAAACCTCTAACAGAGACCTACAGTAGGGAGCTGGCAGCTAACAGAGACACTTCTGCTCCTCATTTCACCCTTAAAACTTCAAGGCAGCAGATACTCTATCAAACAATTCATTTCAACGACTCAAGGAGATTGGCTGGGCTCCATCATCAGTCACAGAGGCAGTAGGCTCAAGTCACATGCAGACAGATTTCCAACACAAACACACCATAAATGTGTCTTTCCCCATTTGTCCTACTACTTTCCTTTCTGAAAAATGAAGGGAAATAAGTGTGTTTCACATTATCAAGAGGGGTTTTCAGAGGAACTAATAAAACAGTACAAACTTCAATAACTTGACACTTGTCTGTAGCGAAAGCTTTATGAAAGGGAAATTGCATGGAGGCAAGCGAAAAGAGGCTCACCTGCAACCTTTTCACGATCTCCTTGATGTCCTCACTGCTAATGAAACTCTCCACGGAAACACACTCTCCTCGCTCGTAGAAGATTTTGAGGCTGGTGTCAGTTGAAGTCCACCCAATCACATCTCTGCAGGAACAGTTGAAAACCACACTCTTAGTTTCTTGCTCGATGAGAACGATGAACTCGTTGGACACCCCCAATAGGCAGTCTATTTCCATAGCCTTGTTGTAGTCTTTGGCTCGGATCGTCCACACGATGGCCCCCATGCTGCTAAGCTCGGCTCCTGGATAGGGCTTAGACTTTTCCTTCTTCTTGGAGGCCAGAGAGATGAAAGGGAACTTGCCAGAAGGGTCGATAGGGGTATTGGTGACATTCTTTTCAGCCAGATCTTTCAGGTACTCCTGGCGGGTCCGTGTTGCCATGGCCCGGAACTTTTCTGATTTATGAGCAGCGTTTTCTGCGTTAATGACTTTTGCCAAAAGAAAGTCCCTGAACACGTTTGACTTAGGGAAAGTGACTCCTTTGGGGATGGGAGGTCCAAAGGAAGGTACATCTCTGGACCTGGTGACAGCCACACTGAGAGACAAAGATCAGAGAGAAAAAGCATGTCAGTATTTCTCAATCCCACAGCAGAATAAAATAATAAATGAGGTAAAATTAGAGACAAAAATGTACTTGAGATAAAAAAAGTGCTCTTTCCCATGAGAGACTACACACATTTCTGTCTAAATGTAATTTTTCACTCAACCACATTTAGGAGTTATAGAATATCAATTTTTTCCTAAGCCAAAATATCCCAAAAGCTTAAAGTAAAAACGTTCTTTTTACTGACAAACAGTAAACCAATTATAATATCATGAAAAAAAGGTTTACTGTAATATTCTGCAAAATGAATACTTCAGATACCCACTGATTATTTTCAAGAAAGATGACAATCACATAACCTATCACAACAAGCATAGAGCCTGTAAGACAAATGTGGTCTCCCTTTTCGATATGAAGCCCATAGGCAGTCAACTAAAGGCGAAAATACTCAAAGATAGATGAGATAAGAGAAATGGGTTAAACTTTGAAAAAATTAAATACTATTTGTTTACTTGTATGTTGGACATTATGCGTTAGATCAAAAACAATTTTAAAATGAAAACGGGAATTTGAGCAAGTAAAAAAATGATTCTGATCTTTATGGTAATAGTGATAGTGCTTTAAAAATCATATTTTTAATAGAACTGTTATTTGGTCCAAATTCTTTAGTTTTGACATTTGAATCTGACAATTCATTTCTGATGAAATGGTTTTCTTTTCCCATTCCTCCTTCGAGCAAAACAAATTTCAGGAAGCCTGTTCCAGTCACTCCTTCTGCAAATGTATCACTAAAATTGGGCCTAAGATAAGACCCAATTTTCATAAGGAAAAAAAAATTGTTTCGCAAAAAAGAATAGCAGCAGCAATAGAAGTTAAATGGAAGCAGAGAGGTTGTGTGTCTTATATCAAATTCCAAGACCTCATTCAAGGACCTCAGCAAAGTTTGAAATGATGGCTCCAACAGATCAAATATCCTTCTTTTCAAATTATCTATTAATTTAAAATGAGTCAACACGCAATTATACGAAGAACTAGGGGAGCAGTACAAAAGCCATTTCTCCTCAACTCCCAGAATGGAAAGGACAAAATCAGAGTGTGCATCTTTCAAATTAAATTGAAGAGCTCTGGTTCATTATTTTGTCTTCATTCAATGAAGGGTTTGCTTTAAGATTCTCAGCTTAACCTTTTAGAAAATGATTATTTCTTGTGAAAATAGGATAAATAAATAAAAATCAGGAACCTCAAGAGAAAATTATGTATTTTGTCAGAGGATGCCATGGAATGGCCTATATATTTCTTTGCAGAAATTCATTGGAAGGAGAAAAAAAAAGCAAGACTACCTAGGTCACTACCTCACAAAGGAGGCAAGCGACACTATTTTCTAGGGAATTCACAGAAACTTCCATATGCATTACATCCTAATTATACTAGTATTAGAAAGACAATTTTTCTTGTCTATTGTGAATTTTCTTGCTCCAGTGATAAAAATTGTGATTTTTAAAAAAGATCTTATTTATTTATTTTTGTATACAAGAACCAGGGTGTAGATCAGAGGTGCAGGGAGTGAGAGGATTCACCAGAGACAGAATGGGGAGCACAGCAGGTGGATTTACTGAAAATACACTGCCAAGGGGAACAGTGGGTTAGACAGGAGAGGTCTGCTGCAACATGTGGGTTAGCTCCCTGGCCGGGGATCGAACTCAGGCTGTTGCGGTGATAGTGCTGAGACTTAACCCCTAGGCCACCAGGGAGGCAAACAATGATATAATTCAAATTTGATTTTTTTTTTTTAAGTAAGCAAAAGATGCTAATATTAAATATGCTTGATTTTCTAAGATGTATACTCAAAGGATCCAGAAATATTACTTTCGTTTTTTAAATTGATAATTTCTTCCCTTTCTATTCCCTTTAAATCATTATTCTTTCTCAAGAAACAACTGTGATTTTATTTTAAATAAGGAGAGGAAAGCACTTAGCAGTGGGTGTCAATAAGAATACCATCCAGTCACTTGCCACAAACTCACTGACTCTCTACAGATCTATTTATTAACTGATAGAACTTTAGACAAACATACTGAAAACCCACCAATAATTAGAAGTTTCTAGAACAAACTATGAGTGAAAGAACTGAATCTTTAACATATAATTATCAATGATTCATCATGGTAGGGAGGTAAATGATACAGACACTAAAATCAGCTTCACATCATTAGAAATAGAATTCTTAGAGAAGAAGATGAGGAAGATGATACCCTAGAATGCTCTTTTCAAATAAAGGGTTTTGTTTTGGGTAAATCTGATGTTCAAGGTTTTCTACAAGGTTAAAAGCTCATTAATTTAGATGCCACGAATTCTGAACTCTTGATAATAAGGTCTGTTTTAACCTAGGTAAAAAGAGTATTTTCTTTCCCCTCCATAAGAATAAAACCCTTTCCAGAATTTTTATTTGCTATACATTGAAACTTGAGATGTATTAATTATAAATGGTCCTTGCTATTTTTAAAGGAAGATTTTCAAAGGACCCCTGCTTTGTCACACTTACGTTAGCTTTGCATGAAATACAAGAAATAATGTATTCTTTAAAATTATAGCCATGCCTTATTTACCCAGCACTGTCAAGGACTGGATAGTTCTACTTAAGAGGGTTATCTAGACAAAAGCCAGACAGAAGTTCAGTGGCTGGAAAGTTAGCACTGCAAGGGAACTTGGAGAATTCAGTGTTCCTCTAACTCTGCCAACAAAATCTTGAGTTTCCTCTTAAAATTCATCTCCAGTTTGCAATCTACTGAAGAATGTGTTCATTTTGACATAAAAATATGTTCTCTCCAAAACCTCTGAATATGATGGAAGGATCAGGAAAGCGTCCTTTTTTTAAATTTTGTCTTCTGACCTATCTTGAATCTCTGTCTGAAGTGCTGGTACAAATTCTTCACATCTCCAGGAAGCAGACTGAGATGATTTGCAGTTCTGTCAGAGTACTGGGCCTGGAATCTGAGCTTCTGGGAGGCCAACAGGGTGCACTGTGACCAGACCACACTCACTGTCTGTGAGGGAATGTTTTTAACCCTTCCCCTCTTGATAGAGGGACCAGCCATAAAAGTCACATGACCAAAGAGATGACCATTATGCTGTTTCTGGAAGGTTTTGGCCTTGTAACATTTGCTGGCATTTGCTTGGATGCAGGTCTTGATACCCCAAAGCCAATTTCAAATTGACACATGGGAATGTTCCAGAGACATGGGAACAGAAATCCCAGTGGGAAAAACCATTAGAAGAATAAGACACTTGAACCTCTGAAGCACAATGAAAACAGCAGTAAACAAGTCTCAATACAAAATTCCGAAGGAACAGGACAGGAATGTCCGCTCTTGGAGCCTTGATTGGACTGTCAACTTGGGAAACTTCTCAAGAATGAGACCTGGGCTAAGGACAGGAAAGATGAAGGATGAAACCTAACAGGGTCAAGCCTGCAGAAACTCAAAGTCTGGTGGAGGTTACATACAGGGGTTAGAATATTGTCCTGGAAAGTTGTCTGGTATAAACAGAAACACAGGAAAGCACTTTTTCTAGATATGTCCAGGGGAGCACTCCAAAGAGAAACAGGATCTCGTCAGACGAGGGAGGGCAGGGAGGGCAGGGGTGCGTGTAAGCAGCACTCTGCTCAGAGAGAGCAGCACGTGGGATGAGAAAGGGTGGAGCACAGCTTGTCCTGGAGTTGTGTCTCCACATGGCTTGAGAGTGAGGTGGGGCCGGGGGAGGACGGGCAGAGGAGCCAGTGGAGGCTGAGAGTCAGGCCATGCCAGACTTGAAGGAACTCACGCAGAGGGTTATGTGAGGGAGTCTGAATGTTTCCTTAAATGGTTTTAAGCAAAGAAGAATGACATTCAGGTTTTTTGTCTTCGAAAGGTCAGCTACAATGGACAATAGGGATGCTGATTCATTATGGCTTAGAACAGACTTTCTGAAACACATCTCTACCATCTGACCCACTTTGATTTTTGTCTTTCTAGCTGAAGTGGACGTATTTATTTGTTATCAGACAAGTGCACAGACATTCCCAGTGCACACACCACACTTCCCGCCTACGCTGGATACTTTACTGATGGGATTTTAAGTAGATGTCAAGCAACCTTCAGTGCACAGAAAGGGAAATTTATGATCTTAGAGGTTTAATAATCTGGTCTGATTCCAAGTGCTTTTTGCACTACATCATACTAACTCCTTTTAGCATTTACTGTATTTTAACCACTGAATGTGAAAATCTTTCTGAGAGGAGTACTGTACATTTCCATGTTCTGAGACAGTTACTGACCACAGTTTGACATTTGTTTTGAAGACTTGGAGTCATTATTATAACCACTTATTACTAGTTTGAAAATTAACAATAATTCTATAATTTCATCCCACAGTAAGTCAACATTTCAATTTCCAATTACATAGCCTAAGGGTTTCTACAGATTTTTGGATCTGAATGGAATACAAATAAAGTCCACATATTGCAATTAATTTTATCTTGAACTTTTTTTTTTT